TATAATTTATTTATTTAAAATTTTATCAAAAATTGATAGATTATAATTGACATAATACTTTAAAATATTTTTTGATTACATATCTTTTTCTTACAAACAATTTAAATTAAATATATTTTAATAATAATAATAATAAAAATATATATAGATATCGTGAATATAATATAATGTAATTTTTTAAAAAATATTATTGATTTTCAATAATAAAATATTCTATCACAAAAAGAGATTGAGATTAAATAATAAAATAAAAATTGAACCTTATATATTATTTTTTTTTAAATTTAAAATATAAATGTATGAATGTAAGTATACAACGAATATTTTTTTAAAAAATGAATTAGATATTTAATAAAAATATATTTTTTATTAAATATTTATTTTAGATATTTTAGATTATTATTTTAGATTGTATCAGCTTTGTTTCTTAATAATGAATATATTGACAACATTTATAAAAAATTTAAACTTTGTAATGAAATATATATTTTTATAACAATTTAAAAAAAAAAAGACAAAAAATAAAAAATATAAGAAAAATAATAAAAAATTATTAAAAATAGAATAATAGAAATACTATTTTACTATTATAATTTGTTATTTAATTTATGAATGTAAAAAATTAGAAATGCATTCCTTACTACAAAATATTTTTTTCTCTTTAACTGCAAATTTGCTACTTAATAAATTTTTATTGCATATATAACAGCAAAAACAAGTTTCTGTTGCATGAAAATTTAAATCCTTAACACCAACACCTTTTTGATCAGCAGCAATTATCTCCTTACATAAGTTACATGTTTTTGCATATGTTTTTTGATAACACAAAAGACATAGTGGACGATCATTCTCTGTAATATACTGTTTTCCAGCTAATGGAACATCACAATCCCAACAGCAAAAATGTTTTACATGATAATTATGACCTTCTGCAACAGTATATTCTCGTACAAAAATAAGCTGTAAAATATAAGAATTATTTTAAATTATTAATAAAAAGAAAAAAAAAGTTTTTAATGCATAGAAAATATTAAATAAGAATATTTTAAAATTTTGGTTTATATACTTACTTCGTCGCAAGCAAAACATCTAGGAATTCCTAATAGTGTTGCTAAATCTCTACCACAATATAATTTATTTTTGTAATAAAAGTATACTAAATCTACTAGCAATTCATTACACATATTACATACAAAACATCCTGGATGCCATATTGCATTTTTAGCTTTTTCTGTAATTACGGCAACATCACCAACATGAATTTCTTCTTTACATTTATGACATTTTTGTAATTTAGAATTTATTGTTAATTGATCCATGACATTTTTAAGATGTTCTGCATTTATAAGATCTTCTGATTGTTTTGCTACAGAAATAGTTTCACATGGAAAAATTTGCTTTTCCAATTTTTCAGAACGAATAACAGTGGAAGGTGTTGTAAAGCTATTTAGTGTTGCTTGATAATTATTGATATTAGAAGTCTGTAATTGTGATGATGAAGCTGATGAAAGAAATTGATTTTCTATCATTTTCGAAGAAGTTAATGATTTATTTTCTTTTGAATTTTCTATATTAAAAGTTTCTGTAGAATCATAAGTATTCTTTTCTATATTTTGAAGTTTTTCTTCTGATGGAATTAACATTTCAGGATTGTTTATAGTAGTAATAGTAGCTATTTGATCAGTTTCTTTATTAATATTTATGGGAAAATTTTTATTTTGCGAATTATTTGAATTTAAATTTTTTGCAAAATTGATTTGTTTTTGATTTTCTTGATTACTATATTTATTTGTGAGTTTTTCACGTATATACATTAGACTTTTCTCATCTAATGTACTTTTAATTACATCAGTTGTATGTACATTAGATGGTAATAAAGTATCTACTAATAAAGTTTCAACATCAATATTATCATTAATTGATTTTGAATTTAATAGAGAAGTAGATGGATTTTTGAACACATCTTTATATGCTTCTTTATAACATTCAGATGGATTCGAAGGTAATGTTATTTTAGAATTTACATTTGTAACTACTGTATCATTTAAATGGTTTTCATTCAAATTTTCAGTTGTTACATTTTTTATATTTTGATTATTACTTCTAATATTTTCATTGCTGGTTATGTTATATTTCTCAAAAATTTGATTATTTTTAACATTACTATAATTATTTGGTGTTTCTAGAGTACAAAATTCATGGATATTTATATTTTCATGCACATTTTTTTTATATGAACATTTTGGAGCAAAACTACTTGGCGTACGTAATTGTACAAAGCTTGGTGATAAATTAAATTTGTTTTGTGGATTAAAACGTTGCATATCAGTAGCATTTACGGGTGTTACTAATGATCCATCATATGGACGAGCGCTTAATATCTATAGCATAAATATAAATATACTTAAAAAATAAAAAAAATTAATCTTATATATTAATCAATAAGATTAATAAATTTATTATAGAAAATAACTTATCTTTGTTATAAAAAAATATAAATACTTACATATATAAAATAATTCTTATATTAATCAATAAAATTAAATTTGTTATAAAAAATAACTTACCTTTGTTACTATTCCTTGTCCTACATATCTTTTTATATTTTCTAAATATTTTTCAAACTGTTTTTTTTCTTGATCACTTAATTTATCACAACTTTTATAATCTACATCATGAAGAGGTAATTGTTTTTGCAATAATTGTCTTCTTAGAGCTGCACCAGCTGATCCTTTAATAGGTAACTTATCTATAGGTAAAGCTCTCATATAATCTATAGCAAGTTCTTTTGTTGTATTTGGTGGTATCCATTCAAATGCTTCTTCTATATATTTCTTTCCATCATTTATATGTAATACTAGAAAGAATTTAATACTAATTCTTTAATATATATATATTTTTAAATATATATATATATATATATAGATATCATTTGTAATAATATTTACATATTGATTTCTTCTTATATTTTTTTGAGGTTCCAAATAACAAGTCAAATTGTGGGAAATCATCATCATCAACATCATGATCATCTTTATTGCATTTACAATTTTTACAAATTTTTCTCCAAAAATGTAAATCTAAACCTGGACATGCTGTTTTGCAAAGAACACAAGGTGCTCCAGCTCCAGCTTCATGTGCCAATCGAGGCTATATAAATAATTATAATAATTTAAAAATTCTTTTAAACAATTAATTTATTAAATTAATTTAATATAATAAAATTAATGTAATTAAATATTTTTATTCATTAATTTTCAAAGAATTATTTGTAGTAAATTGTTATAATTATATTTAATATATAATAATTGTTATAATATATTCAAATGTAATTTATTATTAAAAATTTAATATAGTCTAAAAATAGTTATATTTTTTTTTTTACAACAATTATAATAAATATAATAAATGATAAATATGATAAGTTACAATAAAAAATTGTTTTGAAAAAAATATTTTTTTTTAATATATTTAAAAATTATTTTCAATTTTTACCTTTCTTTTTCGATTTTCCAATTCTAGCAACCATTTCGGACGATCATTTATATCCATATTATTCATTTTTAATTAATTTTTTTTATTTTATTACAAATATAAAAATAAATATTAAAGAAATAAGTATTTCTTGAAGTTACTTGACACTTGCATAAATGTGTGACTCATCACTATGATGCAGCAAAATATTTATGATTCTTTTCCTCTACTATACATACTATACTTAATGCTAAGAGAGATTCATGTATACTGAAATATTCTTTCAAAAAGCTTTCCCATATACATACTATATACTAATATGTATAAGCTACTTTCATGTATGTATATACTATTTATCATATACTTATCAATATTTTCATAATGGTATATCAAATACTTTCCTATTTGAAAAATAAATAAAAGAAAAAAATAATTTCAGTAGAATACATTCAAGTAGATTTTTTTAATATATGATATTTTTGGTTATATATTATATTACTTCTTTTAAATTTCATAGAAAAATTTAATTAAATAAAAAAATAATTAAAATATATTTTAACATAAATAATTTATTTTATTTTAAGTACTATATTATATTAGTAAATGAAATATATATAGTAATATAAATATTTTAAATGTTCTACTGTTTATTTTTATATATATAATAAACATTCTTATAAAATAAATAGAAAAACTTATTCAAACATAGTATTAATATATAGTATATATTATTTACCTTTTTTTTATTTATTGATAATATTTTCTATATATAAATATACAAAATATATCATTATAATAATATTTTTTATAATTATCTATCTATTTATTTAATTTAAATTTTTTAATCAATTCCAAAAGCAGTATCAAATTCTTCTTGAGAAATCTGAAATAATTATTCATTATTCATTAGAAATATATACAAATATTTACTGTAAATAAATTTTTATTTTGAAAAATTATATTAATATTACCTTCTTTTTTTTTAATTTCTTAATTAATGCTATATCTTTTGCTAGATCTTCAATATCTTGTTCATTTATCTTTCTTTTTTGTTTTTTTGCTGAGTTTACTAACATTTTTTGTTTTAGTTTTTTTTCTTTTCTTTTTTTACGATTTTCTTGTCTTTCTAATTTTTTTTTTTTAGCTTCAGACCATGGTTCTGTTTGTTTGCGTTTATTTTTATGTATCTTAGGCCATGTTCCAGTGTCTTGAAAAATTTTTAACTTTTCTAAGCGACTTTTTTCTTTTTGTTTGTCTGAATATGCAATGGAATTGATATCAACATGTTCTTCTCCAAAACTCGATGTATCTTTTCCTTTAAGTTCTGGCATACGAGGCATTCGCAATAAACCAAAACTCATTGCAAGCTTTCCTAAATCAATATCTTTCAATCTTAATATTAAATTACACTCATGTTTATTATATGCTTGGATATATGATACAAATGCTCTATTAGCCTTATCGAAAAGAAATCGATCTTGTTTTTGTAAATCTCTCATACATTTTAAACACTTTTCATATGAAATTATGGATGATTCTAAAACTATTTGTTGTATTTCTACTTTTTGATTTCTTTTAATAAAGTCTACATATGCATCTTCTGTTTCTAAGAGGAATAATAATGCATTTCCTTCATTACCTATCCTAGCAGTTCTACCACATCTAAAGAAAACATAATTATTAATTATAACAAAATAAAATTAATAAATAAAAAGATTTAATCTATCTAGTAAATCTATTTTTACCTATGAATGAAATTACTAGCTGAACAAGGAGGATCATATTGTAATACCCAATCCACTTCTAAAATATCAATACCACGAGCCATTACATCTGTGCAAATTAAAATACCATTTTTGATGTTTCGGAATTCATTAAATATTTTATATCGCTTATTTTTCATTTTACCATGAATTGCAAATACTTGTACAGATGGTAACATTCTAAAATAGAAATATTATAAAATTATAAGATTTATTTTAATAAAATATGTTTAAATGATTATGTTATATAATGTTTAAATAACTTACGCTTGTACAATATGATTAAAATAATCAACACATGCACAAGTAGATAAAAAAATCATATATTTTAAATTAGTTCCTTCATGCTGAATAAAATCTATCATTGTAGAAAATTTGTATTCAGTATTTACAATAACAAAATTATTTTTTAAATTTGATGGTGTAGAAATATTTGGTTTTTCTTTAACAGTTATCAAAGATGGATTTCTAAGTCCAGCTCTTATTAATTGTTGTAATTCTTTTGTTTGAGTTGCAGAAAATAAACCTGTTCTTCTAAGACGTGGTAAATAAAGTAAAATTGTATCTAATACTGTAGAAAAACCTAGATCTAATAATCTATCAGCTTCATCTAAGATCAATATTTCCTATAAATAATATTGTTATAAATTCTTCAATAAAATTATTCTAAAAATATTTAATGTTTAAAAAATTATATTTACCAAAGATTTTACATATCCTGCTAAGTTTATGATTTTACAATTAGATAATATATCTTCTAATCTACCAGGTGTAGCTACAATAATATTTGCTCCTGCTTTAAGTCTGTCTGCATCTTCTGCAATTGTTGTACCACCGACAAGTAATATTTGTTTTAAATTTGGTATATTGTTTAAAAACTTTTGTAAAACTTCATTTATTTGTATAGCTAATTCTCTTGTAGGACTAATTATTATTCCTCCAATTTCTGTAGGTTTCCACTTTTCTTTTCTTTTCTATTTTGAATTTAAAAAATATTGCATATATAATTATAATAAAATATTATATATATTAAAATAATATGTCTACTTTCTTATTTATTTCTTTAATAAATGAATATTTATTAAAGAAAATATTCATAATATATAAATTTCATATAATACCTGTAATATTTCTAACAATGGAACTAAAAAAGCAATTGTTTTTCCACTCCCTGTTACTGCTTCTGCTGCAACATCTTTTCCTTTTAATAATAATGGTATAGAAGCTGCCTGTATATAATTAGAAAAATTATATTAATATTTAAGTTAATTTAAACATCATTTTATTAAAGAGAATATAAATTTAAAATCTTTCATATATTTATTTTTTGTTAGAATTTTTTACCTGCACAGGTGTCATATAAGTAAATTTTAATTCTTCAATAGTTTTAAGTACAGAATCGCTTAAAGGCAATTCTCTCCAATTTTGTGTTTTCATTATAAATTATAAAATTTTCTTGAGTTAAAAAATTAAAAGAGATATAATTCTATTTTATTCTTAATATTAAATATTTATTTTTAAGTAATTTTGATTTATAGGTTATATTGAATATATCGTTACTGATATAGTTCATGAATGAGATAATACATAGGTTATCTTAATAATTTCATTATACATTTTTAAAATATTATTTACATATATGAATTTTTTAATTTTTCAATTTCTTTATTATATTTTATTATTAAAAGTTTTGTTATATTTTTATAAATTATTAAACTGAATATGAAGGATACAAGGATATCTATATAATATAAAATATATATGACAAATTTTCACGATTAGAATTTAAATAGGACGTCAAAAATAAATAAATCATCATATACAAATTGGCTTTTAACACATTGAGTTTATTTTGATGTTTTTTTTTTAAATCTCTTCCATATAAAATTTGTGTCTAACGATGCCACACATTCAACTATCTCTCAGATAAGGATCGTCTGCCTTCATTTCTTTTATATACACGACTAGGTCTAAGGCCGTAATTCAATTTGTTTTTATGCCATAATATCTGACAGTACTCGTTTATACATAAGAGGTACGCAATTGATTTAATTGTTATAATGATTTTAGATATTTAACGCAATGAAATGTTCAGTCTATAGAGCAAAATGTTATTTTTTTTTGTAAATTTCCTTAATACTTTCTTCAATTTATAATACATATTATCTATAAAAAAAAAATCAAAACTCATCTATAAAGATATTATATATATAAATTATGTAACATTTATCTAAATGAAGTTTGGGTGTAAAATATTTCAATACTGAAAATTAAATTTTAAAATTAAATGCAATTAATAATATTTTCTATATTATTTTCTTCATAATATTTTTTTTTTCTCTCTATTTAAAAATAAAATGAAAAATTTATAAATTTATATATTGTAAGAAAATAAGATATTAAATTTATAAATGTTATGTCATATCGAAAATTTATATTTTAAATTGCTAAACAAAAACTAATTATTTGTACCTCTTTACACACATAGATGCATTTCTGTCATGATAGGATTGACTGGCGGAACGTTTTAAACGTTATTTATCAGATCCTTTTCTTCTTATACATTTTTTCTAATTTGACTTACTCTTTGCTTTGAGGACCTTATGTATTAGCATCTCATAACAAAATCCATCATCAACAAATTGCAAAATTTTGAACTTGATTTGAATTATTTTGATATCATGTCATTCATTTTTATATAATTAAACGCAATTCGATGAAATTTCGAAGAGTTAGATCGACCTGTTCCCGTGCTTCCTGTTCACTGCAGTGAGATATCAAATATGAAAGCGCGAGCAGAAAAATATATCATATGCTCTATTTTTTACATTATTCCAATAATTACTTTGTGTAAAAAAAAGTTTTTACTCGTGTGATGTTCATTATTATTCCATTTTTGAGTACCCAAAAAAGTTTGAAGATACATATATCATTAGACTATTGGATAGCTCTTTATGTCAACCTTATAGGTTAAATTTTGGCTTAATAATTGTTTATAAAGTAGTGCGAGCTATAATAATCAAAAGTAAAGTTTCTTTAATTTTAATATTTCTTGCAGTATTTTTGTAATCACAGTCCCTCATTTCTTTCATTTCCTAATATATATTGCATAGGCACCACCTATCAATACAATTTTGAAGAATGTTTGTTCGCCAATTTTCTTTTTACATTTCATATATCTCTATAAATTAATCTTAAAGATGTTTGTTTTTTGTTGTAACATTTAAATTACTAACATAACAGTGTAATAAATTGCATACTGAAATCTGTCTCATATGATTAAGATTTAAATACAACTTGAGGGACTAAATATTGTTGTGGGTCTTGTAAATCACTAACCCACTTCAGTCACTTTCAAGATGATCAGCACTTCATTTTATATTACTACAATTTTATTAGTTTTTTTTTAATTACTAGTTATTATTTGAATTAAATGAAAAACATACTATTTTATCTGGAATGATACTGTTATTAAGAAGAAAAGAAAAAATATATAAGTTTTACGACAGAAAGAAAAAAACATATAAGATTGCTTATAAATATGTTGATTCATATGATAAGCAAGGAAATGATTTTAAGTGCTTAATGCCATCATGAAAGTAACTTAAATTTATAAACTTTATTCTACCTCTGCAGAATACTAGTAGTTTTCTCTTTCTTCATCCATTTCTGATTGCAGCTACTGATTGTGCGGTAAAATCACTGGTATAGTTTGCTGCGCTCCTGGAGGTGGCTGCGGTGGTAGGTATTGCATATGCTGCGGTGGTATCGGTATATGAGGAGGAATTATAGGACACATTATTGGATAACTCGGAGCATGGCCTTGAGGAGGTGGTGGAGGATATGTGGGTTGTGGAGTACCAGGAGGATTATAAGTGCCTGGTGTGTGTGGTGGATTAGGATTAGCTGGAGAAGGAGTTTGACTTGGTGGTTGTTGAGCAACATGAGGATGTGGATGTGTATGTGGACCCATGTATTGAATACCAGGGGCTTGCGGTCCTGGTGAGTCATGATGATGATAAGGTGTTGCCATATGTGGCGGTGGTGGTGGTGCCTGAACCATGCGTACCATCTGTTGATATGCTGGTTGACCAGGATAAGGCACCTGGAATGGTGGATGTAGAGGGGCCGGTGCCATTAAAGGCTGTCCAGTTGCCGCCACTACTTGCATCTGAGAAGCTATATCTTGTGCACGATGTTGTGCATGCATTACTGGTACTGAAATCAAAATAACATACAATTTATATTATTATTACAAATGATGAAATTTATACATTATATTTTAAAATATTTGCTAATAAATAGAAAATTGAAAATAAGATGCGGATACCTAGATACTGACCCTTCCGGAACCTTGTCACAGGTTGAGCTGGTGGCTGACTGAACGCAGTTGGTGGTTGGCTAGTCATTACATATGCTGGCATAACTACAGTAGCAGGCATTGTTGCTCCAGTATACTGAGGTGTTTGTGGAGTATGTGGTCTACTTGGTGTTGGTGTACTTGGAGATCGCTAAAAATAGATATTTATATCACATTTTAATATCATTCGTTTATTAATTAAATTTCTTACGATTGATAGCTTACCGGTGTAAAAGGTTTGGTATTTGGATTAAATTCTTTAGCATTTGGATTTAATGTTGATTTTTTGAAAGCTGTCGTAATTTTATCAACTGTAGTTTCTTGTGGAGCTTGAGATACAGTAGGTGTACTTGTAGAAGTTTGTTGTTGTGATTGAGAAGGACTTGTAGGTCGCAAAGGTAATGGACCTGGTGGTGGTTTACTAGTGACCACAGTTTCTTCTGAAACAGTTTGATTTTGATGTGATTGTTGTTGTTGCTGTTGCTGTGGAGGGTTTGGATGTTGTTGTAATTGTTGCGGTTGTTGCTGCGACTGTTGGGATGTTGTATGTTGATGAGATGATTGATGATGCGTCTGAGTAATTTGTGGCGACGAATGAGCATCCTGTTGATGTTGATGTTGATGTTGCTGCTGCTTTCTGGTAACTGGCGTTGTATCTTGTGCTGGTGTTTCTGCTAACTTGAAATCTGAAGCAAATTGCCTCAATTCTGAATGTTGTTCTTCTCTACTACGTGGTGTTGGAACCTTTAATGATATATTTGTTTCATAATTTTTTTAAATATAAAATATCTCAAATATAATTTATAGATAAAATATTACCTTTCTGTGATCTGACTTATGTGAAACTATCTCACATCGTTGTCCTTCGACCGAATTTTGCTGCTGTAATTGACCATGTTGTTGATGTGATGATTGCTGCTGTTGGTGAGAAGTAGTAACATTCGTTTGTGGAAATGGTGCTGGTGGTGCTTTATCAGCTTGATACACTTGTTGTCTACCAGGACGATCACGTTTTTCCGTATTTATTTTAGATGATGATGTTTGTTGTTGTTGTTGTGGTGGAAAAGTAACTTGTGGTACAGCAGAAGTTGTTTGAGATTGTGGTTGTGATTGTTGAATTACAGGTACTATAAATATAAATTCGTTTAAAAAATATAATCTATACTTTCTTTATTCCTTTTATGAATTAATATAGCATAAATATGATTTGTCAATACCTGGTGGTGGTGGTTGTGTAGTTGGTGGAGGCACAAATGGTGGTGGAGGATTATTATATGTAACCACTACTCCACTGGGTGGCATTCCCATATTTAACGATACCGAGTGTTGCACCGAAGGATGTGTATTTTGCATTCCAATAGGAAGATTCGAAGTTGGAGGAATGTTTACATTTACATTGGACGGAGATTGTTGATTAAAAACATTTTTATTGGCGGTTGCAGATCCTGGTGAAGGTGGGGGTTCACTAGATCTCATCAACTTTGCGCTATTTCCATTTTTCTTTTTCAATGGAGGTGGAATATATTTACCTTCAGTGGGTCTCACCTAAAATTATATTTAATTAATATAGAAAAGATAATTTATACTTTTATTTTATATAACTATAATAATAGTAAAAAACTGCACCACAGCTGCAAATCTTTCTTCCTCATCTCCATTTTCAAGTTCTAATCTAGCTTTGTAATTTGGTTGTGATTCTATTTCATTTGCAATTTCTGCAGCTTTTTGTTCTTGCTCTTTATAATCTTTTGTATCTTTTCTTTGAAGTGGTAATGTATAAGCAGCTAAAGTTGGTTCATATGTTGTTTGAACTCCATATTTTTGTTCATTTTTACGAAACATATCATCAGCATCCCATCCATTCTGAAATTAATTAAATATTTTCTAATTATATATATATTATTTATATATACTCTTAAGTTTATATTAATATAAAAAATACTTACTGTTGTACCATCTAATTTTAAGTCATCTCCATTCATAGTAGCAGGAGGAGCATCCCAAGGTTCTAATTCTTTCTCACCAATTAAGCCATTATATTTACTAATAACAGTATCTGTTCTAAATGTATCACGTATAGCATAATCTAAATCAACATCCTTGGCAGACATAGTAATAATATCTTGTGGTTTAAAAATTAATTTTTCTACTACACTTTCCACGCTAATTTTTCCTGAACCTTCTACACGATGAGCCATTTCTAAGACAACATCAAATTGACTTGAGAAAGTGCGAAAAATACCTTCATATATTGATCCATTCAATGTTTGAATCTGTAATAAAAATTCATTGCAACATAAAGAAACTAAAAAAATTTATATTATATATTTATATTATATATTTTATAAAAATTTGTATTATATATTTTATTAATAAAAAAATTTATAAACACAATTTATTATAATAAAATTGTTTTTATTGTTATTATACTTACAATAAAAAATTTTATTTATCAACTAATACTAATACCTGTACAATATTGCCAACATGACTGGTTATTGCATGCATGAAATGGGCATTATTGTATACACCTTCAGCAGCAACACATCTTTCTTGTGGACCACGGGCACGTGGTGATCTAAAAAGAAAATTGCATTTAGGAACAAATTCAGGAATACTAATTTTAAATATTATATTATAAGAAAAAAATTTTATGTTAAAATATTTAAAATTTGTTCAGTTTAAAAGAAAGCTAAAAAAATATACAAAATAAAATAAAACAGAAAAGGAAAAGTACCTGTTTGTATTTGAACGGTTTTTTCTTTTGCTATTCATTTTGCCACTCGACGAGGATTCTTCGCCAGTGGTTGATGGATTTCTGCCGCCGGTTTGTTGCGGACCTTCTCGTTTCCTAGTGGGGACCGGAATTTTGACTAATTTCCCGGTGACTACTTAACGTTAAAAAATATTTTCGATTGAATATCCCAACGCAGGGAAATATAGAGGATTTTTTTCCACAAACTTCTCGTTAGATATTGAAAATTTCAATTTCAAATCTTTTTCGACCCCAAAATGATTGACAGGAGATACTAGCTGCAACAACTACCAACATTCACGATCGCTTTTCGAGTCACGATCGTTTATAGGTTATGCGCCAATGCTACAGTTATCTAAACACTCGTTTGCGAAAGTCTAGCGCGTGCGTGACTTTCGGATTTTGACAAACACAAGAGTAAAGTGTAAGCAAAGAAAGCAGGAACACTTTGTATTCGAGGAGACGTACGGGGGAACACGGTCTGCTCGACACACGATATCTTGCTGGTGCGTGACGTAACTCCGTTGTCTTTACGCAGGAAATCACCCTTATGGAATTTTTGCGTTGGCTGAATTAGGAAACGAGCAATAATAGTTCTAAATAATGATTTCGGTCACAATATTGTATTCCTATTTAATTAATCAACATGTGGTAAAAGATAAAACTTAGCACAAGTCGCCAGATCAACCTGATCCCGGTGACTGTCAGACAGTCGCCACCTAGTGAGAAATTAATAAAAATTCTGATAAAGATCATCCGCAATTCCTCTCTTGGAGCACCTATTTTCATTAAGGCTTATATTTTCTTTTTTAATAGAAATGCATCTTTAAGTATTGAGTGTAATACTAAATTAAAAGAATTTTTTCTCACTAAAGATACATAAAAAATTTGAAAATTAAATAATTTTCCAAGATATTATATATATATTAAAATATTCAGTTTAAAAAATAATTTTTTATATATTTAATAATTTCTTTTAAATTTTACTCAAGATATCTGTATGCATTTTTATCGTCATTATAAATAATGTGCAATTTTCGAATAATGTTCTTCGTTCTATCAAAAATGAAATTGTCCATTTGATCTAAGATGTGCATGCCTTGAATTATCCATTCAAATCCCTTATTAATCTTTTTCTCTCTATTAGTATATTTATTTGAACGGCTTGATAGAATATTTGAAAGTTCTGCTGAAGCATTTTGTTTTTTCGCAAATATTTTATCAGTTTCCATCATGATTAACTAGTGAACAATTTAATATGATTTATAAAATATGTAATTTTGAAAATTGAATATATTGAAAGAATACAATATTACTTACCATGGATAATATGAAAAGCAACAATAATATTTTCATTTTTTAGAAAATAAGATACATTTCATATTCAAATTCGTACATATATATAATTGTATTTATAAAAAAAGAAATATTAAAAATTAATATTTATAAGTGAAAGAAAAAAATAAAGTTAGATTATTATATTTTCAATATACACTTTAGTCAACGTTATTACGATTATTTGGTATGTCTTCTGACCAATTTATTCTTCTTATTCCAATATTTCTTAATGAATGGTATGCGCTGACGCTAAATAAATATTTGTATATTTAATGTTAAGCAATGCATTAATTCAAACAATGAAGCAATTCATTTTGTAAATATAATTCTTATTTTATAAGATCATAGTATCCTTTCAGATTTGATCAAATAATAGTTATATGTTTGATTTTTCTACATTTATACATTATTATATATATAATAATAAAATTTGTTAAAATATTAATGAATGAATGAAGACAGTAATAAAATGAAAAAATAATAAAATTTATCAATTCTATATATATATATAT